CCCACATGTTGTCCACACAAAAAGAAGGCTATTGACTCATGTAGATGGAGGCATATCCCTAGCACACTTCCCTGTACCACAATTTATGCAATGATACTACAACAACAAACAGCAGCAACAACCCTGGTACTGCCAATCTCAAGACATCCCTGTGGAAAGAATGAACCCCCTTACACTTTTCAAAAGCAATATTCTAGAGCACTGAGTACTAAGCCTAAAATACCAAACTACATTTCAGGCCACTCATAGTACAGAAAAACAATAATTTCACGAAGCCAAAGTAAGAAAGAAGCCACCTCCCTTTCATATCTGTTGGTAACATATAGGTACGTGAGGGGGTGCCATGTGGAGGTGGGTAGAGACCAGTTTTCCCTGTTAGAGGAAGGCAGGATGTGTTCGAATGGAGCAAATATCAGGGAACCAAGGTTCAATTTGGATGCCAGGAAATACTTCCTGACAGTTTGGACCCCAAGGGTATGGAAAGGGCTTCCATGGGAGGTGGTTGAAGCCCCATGGGTGAGGGTATTCAAGGATAGGCTGGACATGCACATGATAGGCATGTCATGAGCAGAGCTGACTGGAGTCGGGGGCCCGGGAGACCCCTTCTGACTCACTCTATTTCTATGTTTCTATATGCATCATATCCTGTGCTCTGGTCTCATTACAGTTGTTACACCAGGTAATCCTGCAGAGTCCAATACACCTCTGAAAGAGGAGCTTGCCCTCCAGATTACCTTGCAAGGTTTGTGATCTTTTGCTGGGGTTTTAACATGTGCAGCAAGAAAGAACAAGCCCTGGTTTTGCATTCACAGCACTGAGAAAGGAAAAGGAGAGTTTATTCATCAGAAAAAAATATATGATGGGCACAAGCTTTAGCCCCATGTGGCCCAGACAGCATATATTCCTGTAATATCACAATCTTATATTTCTTTCTCTTAAAAAATTCTATTTTAACAAAAACAAAACTCATAGTTCACACAAATATAAAACAATACAAATAATATAATAATGATAAACATAATTCAGTAATAACAATGTTAGCTTCCACCTGGACCAACAAATACATGCTATGTAATGTAAAATCACATAATCATTCAGATTGCTCCATTCCCACTCCCAGAACTGCATTGAATCTTGTGATTGCTGTCAGGATTCCAGATTGCTTGCAATGAATACTTGGGTTTAGTGGAAGCATACAATCAAGCACTCAACAGTTTTACTGAGTGCAACAGAAACAGAAATCCCTAAATTACAACAGAGCTGAAGGGTAGCAGTTAAGACTGACTACACGGAACAGAGCATGGACAGAATGTTTTATGGGGCCAGGGTCACATACACGTGGCAGGGAGAACAATGAGATTCTGACCGGGTGATAATGCAAGAACAATGTAGAAGCACTGAAACACTATAGGGAAACATTGGTAAAACATGATGCATCAAGATCTTGAGTGACAGATAAAGAGGTTAAACAATCAGAAGCTACAGAATTTAACAGGCTTCAGTGTTTGCTTTTTACAGTCTGAGGTCGGAATATCAGGAAGACAATGGGGGAGGAGGCAGAAGGGCAAATTGGAGTCTCCAAGATTATATATCCATTTGCATGTCCTGAGACTTTTCTCCTTTTCCCATAGAAGGAACCTCAATGGGAAAACCCTGCAGATTGAGGGTAGGGGAAGAAAAAGGGTAGTTTTTTCTATTCTAAAGTATAAAACTTGTAACTTTTATTTAGGGTAACTCCAACATGACTCAAACCCTTTTCCCTTTATTAAAACATATTCAATAAATGGTCTCCAATATCTTCAAAATTGCTTTTACTTATCAAACCCTTTTCCACTTAATATCACAAGTTAACTTATTATTAATGGCTATACTCTTTATAACTTCTTTATACCAATCATTTATTTGATAATCACTTTTACTTTCCAGTTCCTTGCTATTATTAATCTTAGTAAATTTGTCAGCAATTATTTAATATTTTGTCCAACTCATTCTTTAAATACTGACAATAATGCTAGTCCAGGGTCTACTTCAAAGTTTAGATTCAACATTTTACTAATTTCTTTGAAAACTATTTCCCAAAACTTATTATGTATTTACACTCCCACCACATATGGAAATGTGTACCCACTTCCCAGTTACATCTCCAAGATTCATTGGAATATTTATTATTCATGTAATTCAATTTAACTGGAGTGAAGTACCATTTCCAAACTAATTTACCAAAGTTTTCTTTAATTCTTGTTGACATACATTATAAAATTCTCGTGTCCCACATATTATTCCAGTCTTCATTACTAATATTTCTTCTTAAATCTATTTCCCAAGACTCTTCAAGAGGATCATATTAGTCCTCCCCTCCCCTATACATTATAAATTTTACTTGTCATTCCTCTCATTCACATATTAACTTGTTTTTGTTTCTGTATATCTTCAAATAAGGATATTCTCTACATTTACCATTTTTCTTCAACCAATTTTAGTCCATTGGTCTAATTGAAGTATATTATACCAGGTTACATTACTGTCTCCTAATATTGCTTATATCTTTTCTTCGCTCTTCATTTTCTCTGACCAATCTTTCAGCCTAATAATATGTTTACTCATCAGTATTTTCCCCAAACTACTTGTCAAATTCTCTGGAAACCCTTCTAATTCTATAATTGGATATAAGAGCAAAACTGATGGGACAAACATATCTCTATATTTATTCCAAATTCAGTCCACATTCTTAAAAAGGGGGTTTCCTTTTTTTTAATTGTTTTTATTAACCTGTTGGAGAAAAATATTTAATAAGGATACCTCAGCATCTTGACATTTACCCCATATTATCTTATTGGGCTGTAGTATAATATCTGGTATATGACTCATTTGATTTGCTATATAAGAAAGCTTCACATTAGGAATACCTAAAACTCCTGTTTTCTGGGACGTATACCATCTTTTTAAAAATTAATTCTTGGTTTTTATCCCCATTACAAAATGTATCAATCATATTTGCCATTCTTTCATATCTTTCCCTGTTATCTTAATTGGCAACATCATAAACAAGAAATTAATCTTAGTTAAAATCTTCATTTTAAATACCGCTATTCTACCAAACCACAATAAACCAATCATTCTAAATTCATTCATTTTCTCTTTCATTTCATATTTTAATTTATCAAAATTATTTCCTCTTAAACATAGCAAATTCTGTAATATTTATGCCTAAATACTTAATAGTTTTACATACCTTAACTTTGAACTTGCTTCTAATCTCATCCTTTTCTACTTTATAACAGTTAAACACCATCATCTTCAATTTATCCCAGTTTACTGTAGTTACCTGCAGCACCTGTGCCTTATTTGCCTACCTCCCCCAGGAGGAGCTGGAATACACTTGCACTAGGTGCAAGTTGGTGTCCCTCTTCAAGAAGAGGGTGAGGACACCTTCACCTCCCTTCGGAAGTTAAGGGAGGGGGAGCAGTCCCTAGGCACTGCCCAAGAGGTCCTCCAGGCCAACCGGGAACAGCTCCCTTCCAGACAGGATGAAGAGGGACACCAGGGAGCCAGCTGGGGAGGCATGGAGACATATCATCTGCAGAAGGCAGAGGTGGACACCATCCCCTCTGATGCCTGGCACAGAGCTGAGGCCAAGAAACTGGTTTTCTCCTCCTGAGCAGGCTGAGGGTATGAGGGAACTGGGCAGATCGGTCAGAGGTCAAATTCTGCCAGAGGACTGCTGCCAGGGAGGCAGCTACTGAGACACCCCCCCCTCCAAATCTCCACAGTGAGAAGGGGAAGGCAAGTTATTGTCACTGGAGACTCCTTACAAAGGAGTACCAAGGTGGCAGTGTGCTGGCCAGAACTAGAAGCAAGGGAAGTCTGCTGTCTGCTAGATGAAAGCATCTAGAGCATGGTGGACAGCCTGGCCCATCTTCTTCCCTTGGAGGGTCAACAGCTGCTTCTGGTGATCCACATGGGGACAAACAACACAGCCATGCAGGAACTGGATGGGATCACTCAGGGCTTTGAAACTATGGACAGGAAACTCAAGGGCCTAAAAGCCCAAGTGGCCTTTTCCTCACTCTTGCTGGTCCATGGGCA